GGGGAGTTGGGGGGAAGCCTCACCACCATAAATAAAACCCCTTTCTCTTACCCCAAACCTCATTCTGTGGCTGGACACTGTGCTAGAGGTCAGGGCTGCATGGCCACCTGTGCCTCACTGAGTGAAACTGCAGTCCCAGGCAGGGCCATGGGTCCGACTGCCTTTCCACAAACAGCCATATTGTCCCTTGGAGGAGCTGGCTGAGGGTGGAGAGGGTGCGCTCATCATCTGAGCCTCCCAGGCCCACGCGTCGCCTCCTCTCGCAGCCATCAACTCTGAGGCTGGAGGTGGGAAGAAACCCCAGATAAAAATAAATGAGGGAAAAGGGACCAGGCGGACAGGGAAGCCCAGACAGTTTGCAGCATCTGGAAGATCTAGATGCCAAGCAGTTTGAGCCACTGGTAAGTCCCATCTTCCCTGAGCCAGGGACACCAGAGGGTCAATAGCTTAAGTCACCCCACTCAGGGAGACAGATAACAGAAGCCCAATTAATGACATTTGCCAACCACACCCAAGGACAGATGGAGTTAGGGAATAACTCATCTGGGTACATCTGCACAAAACTGATGGGCATTCTATTGAGATCCTCCCCTAAGACCTCCCTAAATGCTCAGCCTATAACACCTCTAAAACGAAGGTCTAGCTCGCGCTCTCCCTCCCAGGAGCACACCTGCACCCCCAAGCACCCGCTTCTTCCCTCACAGGCACTTATCTCATAACCCTAAGGTGCTGGGGTCCAACCCCAGCAGGTCCAGGGGTTCCCCATAGGTGTGGACGGAGTCGGCGAAGAAAGAATGACACAGAGACAGCATTCAGTTGATCAGCAGCCCAGTCAGGTTCTCTAGCCAAGTTCTGGTCAGGATCTCCAGCGAAGTTCTGGTTAGGATCTCCAGCCAGGTTCTGTGTCCATGTTCTCCTGCTAGGTTCTCTCGCCAGGTTCTTTAGGTTCTCCAGCCAGGTTCGGTTGCCAGGTTCTGTAGCCGGGTTCTTCAGCCAGGTTCTGTCTAGGTTCTCCAACCAAGTTCTGTAGCCAGGTTCTGTCCAGGATCTTTTGCCATGTTCTCTCCAGCGAAGTTCTTCTGTCTCTAGGTTCTGTGTAGGTTCTGTCCCCTCCTTAACTTCAGGGGAAAATCTCTACCTGGGGAAACAACCTTTCTCAGAGAGGTGACCTTGGTTAAAACACATAGCGCCAAGAAGGTGAGCAAACATAGTAAGAACAGTATGCCATATATGCCAGGTCCCTTGAAACAGCAAGGATGGACTGGCTCCTGGCACTAAGGGACCCCACGAGGCTTGTAACCAGGGCAGCAGTGGGCAGCAGCTGCTTGTCCCAGGCAAACCCCTCGCTCTGTCCCCAAGGCCCCCGTTTCTCTGACTTCCCAATGAGCCGAAGCAGTGGCCTGGGCTCCTTTCCCATCCGCCCTGCTCCACGTCCCAGCTGTGGTAAACACCCTCTACAATCTGCTGCATCCGTGTATGTGAGGGTGCTCTCCCGCAATCTCTCCTTCTAGGATCCATATTGTTATAAGCCTTGTCCCATCACTCGGAGCAGCCGTCCGCAGCTGCAGAAGCAAGACAAGGTGAATCCCGGCAGCCTGACCCACCAGCGCACTCTCCTCCCTTGGCTGACTGGTGCACCCACCTCCGACCCTACAATTCACACTTCTCCCCTATATAAAGGAGCCCAACCACTCCTGGGGCAACACCACACACTGGGTCTGCCCACTGGAGGGAAGGCGATGAAATCAAACTCTCACAACGTTGCTTGGCCTAGCTCCATGGGTGCAGACCTAACTAGTGTTGTGCACAAAGGCGAGAATCCACACCTAGCAGCCAGGGGCCAAGGGTCAGCTCCTTGTGATTCCACGGCCCACTTCCCCTCCTGCCCCCTCCTGCCCCCTCCTGTCCCGCCTGTCCCTTCCTGTCCCCGCCTGTCACCCCTGTCCCCGCCTGTCACCCCTGTCCCCGCCTGTCACCCCTGTCCCCGCCTGTCACCCCTGTCCCCGCCTGTCACCCCTGTCCCCGCCTGTCACCCCTGTCCCCGCCTGTCACCCCTGTCCCCGCCTGTCACCCCTGTCCCCGCCTGTCACCCCTGTCCCCGCCTGTCACCCCTGTCCCCGCCTGTCACCCCTGTCCCCGCCTGTCACCCCTGTCCCCGCCTGTCACCCCTGTCCCCGCCTGTCACCCCTGTCCCCGCCTGTCACCCCTGTCCCCGCCTGTCACCCCTGTCCCCGCCTGTCACCCCTGTCCCCGCCTGTCACCCCTGTCCCCGCCTGTCACCCCTGTCCCCGCCTGTCACCCCTGTCCCCGCCTGTCACCCCTGTCCCCGCCTGTCACCCCTGTCCCCGCCTGTCACCCCTGTCCCCGCCTGTCACCCCTGTCCCCGCCTGTCACCCCTGTCCCCGCCTGTCACCCCTGTCCCCGCCTGTCACCCCTGTCCCCGCCTGTCACCCCTGTCCCCGCCTGTCACCCCTGTCCCCGCCTGTCACCCCTGTCCCCGCCTGTCACCCCTGTCCCCGCCTGTCACCCCTGTCCCCGCCTGTCACCCCTGTCCCCGCCTGTCACCCCTGTCCCCGCCTGTCACCCCTGTCCCCGCCTGTCACCCCTGTCCCCGCCTGTCACCCCTGTCCCCGCCTGTCACCCCTGTCCCCGCCTGTCACCCCTGTCCCCGCCTGTCACCCCTGTCCCCGCCTGTCACCCCTGTCCCCGCCTGTCACCCCTGTCCCCGCCTGTCACCCCTGTCCCCGCCTGTCACCCCTGTCCCCGCCTGTCACCCCTGTCCCCGCCTGTCACCCCTGTCCCCGCCTGTCACCCCTGTCCCCGCCTGTCACCCCTGTCCCCGCCTGTCACCCCTGTCCCCGCCTGTCACCCCTGTCCCCGCCTGTCACCCCTGTCCCCGCCTGTCACCCCTGTCCCCGCCTGTCACCCCTGTCCCCGCCTGTCACCCCTGTCCCCGCCTGTCACCCCTGTCCCCGCCTGTCACCCCTGTCCCCGCCTGTCACCCCTGTCCCCGCCTGTCACCCCTGTCCCCGCCTGTCACCCCTGTCCCCGCCTGTCACCCCTGTCCCCGCCTGTCACCCCTGTCCCCGCCTGTCACCCCTGTCCCCGCCTGTCACCCCTGTCCCCGCCTGTCACCCCTGTCCCCGCCTGTCACCCCTGTCCCCGCCTGTCACCCCTGTCCCCGCCTGTCACCCCTGTCCCCGCCTGTCACCCCTGTCCCCGCCTGTCACCCCTGTCCCCGCCTGTCACCCCTGTCCCCGCCTGTCACCCCTGTCCCCGCCTGTCACCCCTGTCCCCGCCTGTCACCCCTGTCCCCGCCTGTCACCCCTGTCCCCGCCTGTCACCCCTGTCCCCGCCTGTCACCCCTGTCCCCGCCTGTCACCCCTGTCCCCGCCTGTCACCCCTGTCCCCGCCTGTCACCCCTGTCCCCGCCTGTCACCCCTGTCCCCGCCTGTCACCCCTGTCCCCGCCTGTCACCCCTGTCCCCGCCTGTCACCCCTGTCCCCGCCTGTCACCCCTGTCCCCGCCTGTCACCCCTGTCCCCGCCTGTCACCCCTGTCCCCGCCTGTCACCCCTGTCCCCTCCTGTCCCTGCCTGTCCCCACCTGTCCCTTCCTGTGCCCACCTGTCCCCAACTGTCCCCCTGTCCCTTTCTGTCCCCCTGTCCCCACCTGTCCCTTCCTGTCCCCACCTGTCCCTTCCTGTCCTCACCTGTCCCTGCCCCACTGCAGATCCTCACTGAGCTGGAGACACCTCCTTTCCAACTGGAGGCTCTGGGAGAGTTAGAACTCCTGGCTCCCAGATAACCAAGGAGACAGACAAAGGGGTCCTGGCAGGGCTGGTTCAGTTTTCCTTCCTTCCCTCCATGGGCCTAATTCTGCTCCATGGCCTCGGCTGGAGCTGAAGCCCACATTGCCTGGCCGGGCAGTGGGGCCTGGTGGAAATCAGCCCCAGAGGCCAGGGATGAGCCCACACTGAGTCCAGAGAGTCTTGAGGAACTGGACAAGCAATGCTCGAGTGTGGGCTGGAGAGCCTGCGGGTCCCTGGAAGCCCTGTTGCTGGCACAGCCACAAGAAAGGAGCTGTCTGCTCACTGCCTGCTCCTCCAGGACCACGGGGCCGGGGCCAGGCCCCAGGCGCTGCCAGCTCCACTCCATCGGCTTCCACCTCCCATGGGCGACAAATGGAAGTTGATGGTTACACTTTATCAGCTCCCTAGAGGAGGGGGACACCTTGCAGCAAACGCAGAGTAACTGTAGGCATCTTATAAATTACACATCTTAAGGACGTGAACCATTGTGCATTGCTGCTAAGCAAAAGTGAGTTGGGTGTTGGAGTTTCAGTGGAAATGAAGCATGCTCGTAGAGTGGCGAGCCCAGGGCAGTGGGGACACTGAATCATGTGTCCCAGTGCTGAGTGCCACCCACCGCTGCTGTGGACCTGGGAGCAGGTGCCACCAGGTAACCTGGAGCAGCTGGAAGACCGGCAGCTTGGCCCTGGCCATGCGCCTGCCCTGGCCAGAGGCTTGCCCCGCCTACCTCGGCTTCCCACTGTTCCAACTTCTGAGACCTCAGGGCCGTCTTGGCCCTAACTGGGGGGATTTGGGAGCTTTAAGCAGATGCCAAGTCCAGGGTCCACCGCGCAGTCAACCAGGGACACCCCAAGCCTCCCTGGCCTCTGCCCAAGCACACCCTGAGGAAGCGTTCTTCCATCAACAAGATTATCTCTCTTCTCGGATCTCCCTGCACTTGGAATCCCCAGGGCCATCCCTCCTTCTCCTCAACTAACAGCTGCCCCTTTCGTGGTCACAGGCTGTCATGGAAACTTAGCAGAGTCATTATTCTCATCACAGTGGGCGCCTGCCAGCGGCTCCACCCCCACCACCCAGGCCCAGCCAAACTTGAGGGGACATAGTAGAAGGTCCCCTGTAGACACTTGGGGTGCTGAGAGAGAGTGTCACCTGGGCCAGCAAGCCCTGGGGAGCCGGCTGCGCAGCACTTACCAATCCTCAGGGCGTGGGGACTGCAGGCCACTGTCACAAGCCACACAGGAAGCAGCACCAGAGGTGCGGAGACTTGGGGCATCTTCTAGGAATCCTCATGGAGCCCGCTGCCGGCCTGGGCATGACATGACTCTGCAAGACAGGACCAGAGCGTGAGGCCTGCATCCCTGCCAGAGCCACCCACTCAGCCTGGTGACCCAGACACCGCCCCACCCACCCAGCTCTGCTGCAGTGCCCACGCGGCTCTGGCCTCTGTCCTCCCTCTACAAGCTCAGGTTCGAATCCTTCCTCCCCAGCAAAGTGGGGCAGGCGGTTGCTCTGGGGCCAAATGGGTCACAGGCTCCACTTTTTAAAAAACTCCAGTTGAGGGGGGCGGGGGAGACCTTCATCTGCCATGGAGGAGCGGCAGGGCTGTGCCCTCGCTGGCCGCACACGCTGCTCCCTGGGAGGCATGGGAAGGGCCGGTTCAGTCATCTTCGTGCACCAGCTGTGCCTTCATGAGGAGCCTCCTGATCCCTCAGCCAGTTCCCTCACCGGCTCAGCCACCTGTCCTGGGATCGCGGCCTCAAGCAAATAGAAGCTTCCTGCTCCCCTGACCAATGGGCTGAGGAGGGCCTGCTCCCATGTCAGCTCCTCCCCAGCCCAATGGGTAGAAGCGCTTCCCCAGGGGTCAGCGGTTTCCACACCTGCTCCTGCCACCTGCCGAAAGTGACCCTCCCCATCCTCCTCCCAAAGCCTTCTCCTCCTGCCGAGGGCAGGGGACCTCTGATGTCAAAGCAGCACCTCCAGGGGCTGCCTCGTGGAGGGCAGCAGGGTGTGTCCCCCGCTGAATCCTTTCCAATCCTTGAGGCCAGAGTCTGTGGCCGCCAGCTCGGCCCCCTCATGGGGTGAGGGCGGCTGGTGAGCACCAGGCCCTGCTACTCCTGGGTCGCCCTGGGCCAGGAAAGCAGTATTAACACAGCTCTCCTCCCACTACCCACACGGACACTCCATAGGAGCATGGGCCAAGACAGGCCAGACTTCCCTAACAGCTATAGCCAAAGGCCGAGCATGTTTAAAAAGTCCTCAGCTTCACTGGGCTTCAGGAAAATGCCACTTTAAACCACAACAGGGAGCCAGTCCACATGCACCAGTTGCCTCTTTAACAAAACAAGGCAGGTGTCGCAGGAGATGGGACCCTCCTGTGGTGTCCCTGGGAGCACACAGTACAGCCATCTCCTGGAGCTGCTCACCCCAAAACCAGCAGCTCCTCCCACAGCCCGCACCCCAGCACCAGCAGCTCCTCTCAGAGCCCGCACCCCAGCACCAGCAGCTCCTCTCAGCACCCACATGCAATGGGCTCCTCCCACAGCCTGCACACCAGCACCAGCAGCTCCTCCCACAGCCCGCACCCCAGCACCAGCAGCTCCTCTCAGAGCCCGCACCCCAGCACCAGCAGCTCCTCTCAGAACCCACATGCAATGGACACATAGGTGTGTGCCCCCCAGGACGTACAGAATTTCCACCCTCAAGACCCCCAAACTGGAGACTAGCCCGAAGTCTAAGAGCAAAGTGGAGAAATGTCATGTATGGAATGGTGTGTGGAAATGAAAATGACTAATGATGAATCTCATAAACATCATATTGAGCAAAAGAAAGCGGGCACAGAAAAACATGTCCAGTGTGATCCTGCTCACACAGGACAGAAGCCGCCAGACAGGAGCCTGCGCTGCCAGCAGCCACCCTTGGGGAGAGCGGTGACGGAGGGGCCTGCGGGGTGGCCTGAGGGTGGCAGTGACGTCTGATTCTCACTCTTGGTGCTGGTAACACAAGTGTGCCCGCTTTGTGAAACCGCATTGAGCTAAATGCTTGTGGTAACATCACTTTCTGTGAGCTATCCTTCAGTAGAGTTGTATGAATGACGTCCTCCCCCGCCACACACACACTCAGTGCCCAGCACAGCCAGCAGCTCACAGCTCCTGTGCAAACTGGTCTCTCCCCTGAGGAGCTCCTCTCCAACCCCCACCCCCATGCTGGGTATGGGCAGGGGTGTGTGCAGGGGTGTATGCTCTGAGAGGTGCCATAGTGGGCCTCCTTTCCGCTGTAGCTGCTGTTTATGTGTCTGTACCTGGGAGGCGTGTGGGCTTCTTAGGGACAAAAACTGTTTCCAGCTACAGTTGTACCCTCAGAGTCTACTTAACACAAAATAGTTGTTTATGAAAGGAAGGTCTCAAACAAGTGTCTGCTACTGGGAGACAGCAGAACGTCAAGGGCCAAGACAACCATGCTGTTGGCGAATCCGGTCCAGAACCTCCCTCATTCCTGGTGCTGGCGCCGGGGTGTGTGCAGGGGGTTTGTACAGGGGTTCAGAGCAGGGGTGTGTGCAGGGGTATGTGCAAGGGTTTGTGCTGAGATGTGTGCAGGGGGTGTATGCAGGGGGCGTGTGCTGGGGTATGTGCAGGGGTTTGTGCAGGGATGTGGGCAGGGGTGTTGGCTGGAGCGTGTGCTCGGGTGTGTGCAGGGGTTTGTGCAGGGGTGTGTGCAGGGGCGTGTGCTTGGGTGTGTGCAGGGGTGTGGGCAGGGGTATGTACAGGTGTATGGGCAGGGGTGTGTGCAGGGGTTTGTGCAGGGGTGTGTGCAGGGATTTGTGCAGGGGTGTGTGCAAGGGTGTGTGCAGGGACGTGTGCTTGGGTGTGTGCAGAGGTATGGGCAGGGGTGTGTG